CCTGGCAGCAACATCTTCCGTTGCCCGAGCAAGGGCAGCTTCCGCTTCCGCCTTCTGATCCTTGGCCCTCTGAAGGTCCATCCTGGACGCGTGGTACCGGCCAGCAATGATAGAAATCTGCTGGGCAGCCTGTAAAAGAAGGAAAGAGTGTTAAAACACAAAAATAGAAAACAAGAGTGAAGGGATCAAAACGAGAATAAACTCACCACCAGGGAGTTCTGGATCATGGAGCGGAACAACACGTTGGTTGATCGCCCCCGATGAGCCTCCATGTCAGCCTCAAAATGCAATGTCTCACTCACTGCATAGGCGACATGGGGATCCTGCAGAATGGAATCGTCGACCCTGATCACTCGGTTCATGTGATCAGTGGCCCGAGGATTCCACACCGCGGCCTCCACTGTGGATGGGAGGGAAGTAGTGTGCTGTTGCTGTTGCTGCTGCTGCTGCTGTTGCTGTTGTCGGGGCTGCTGTAGTTGCTGCTGTTGTCGAGTTGCTGCTGCTGTTGTGAGGGAGCAGAGGGTAATCCACGATCCCTCCCGCTTTGCTGCTGAGCGGGAGGCACCCTGGGTCCTCGGCTAAGGCCATCGTGCCGATGCTTCACCCTCCTCTCCTCCTCCACCTGAGGGTCCCGATCTCGCACCTGACCCTGATCAGGAACCCTTGATGATGGGGCAGAGCTGGTTCCTGCCGGAGTACCGCCGGCCGTCCCTCGGCCTCTCCCGGCTGCGAGGGTTTGCCTCTGCCTAAGAAACCCCAAATTAATACGAGGGCGTTGGACATCGCTTCCTCAAGAGCGTCTTCGGCGTCCAAAGATTGGAGAATTTGAAAATCGGGCCACAAGTCGCCTCCCGAAGTCCCCACCTCGGCGTCCGAAGGAGCAACGTCCTCTCTGACCCCGACCTCCTCAGCAACTCCCTCTACCTCTCCCTCTGAAGCCCGATCCGGGTCTTCCTCCAAGTTCTGCTCGACCTCTAGCCTCGCCGCCTGATCAAAGAGCTCTGACCACTGCGAAGGCTCGAAAGGTTGAGGGAGCTGTGAGAACTTCTTATACCCGGGGGTATAGTGCAGCAGATTATGGGCAGCTCGGCCAAATCCGTCGGCGCCCGTGAAACTCCAAACCGTTATTAGGTCGGCAAAATTGACCAGCGACCGAGGGGGTGGAGCTGTTTCCCGAGAAGGAATATCTGCACAACGAAAAAGATTGTCATAAGCATGAGAAGTCCCAAGAAACAATAAAGAACCCGAAGGAACCGACGTACTTGTCGTTCTCCATTCCCGAGGGCAAAATAAGTCATTGTACTCGGGACCAACACCCCTCTCCCAACATCCCTTGAAGATCAAGATGTCGTCCTTGTACCCCTTGTCCGAATCAGGAAGATGGGTTACAAGGTACATGGAGGGGTCCCTGGCTTTGAGGTAGAAATGTTGGTGAGGCATGACTCTTAGGAGGGAGTAACAGAAAAGGAGATCATTGAGCCCAATATTCACCCCGAGGCGCCTATTGAGCTCTAGGACCCCCATAATTATTCGAAAGACGTTGAGGCAGCATTGCCCGGGGAAGAGACGGAAGCGAGACAGGAACTGAAGAAGCAGGGGGGGTAAAGGAAACCTAATTCCACCCTCTATGATGGCCTTGGTATAGAAAGGCATGGCATCCGCGGCCCCGAAGGTAGGAGAGTTCAACAAAGGGTTAAAACCCACTACGTCCACGCTCGGGGGGATGCCATACTTAGCCCTGAACCTATCGATCTGCGCCTCGCCTGTCACCTTGTATTTCCCTGACCCCGAGGGACCAGCCGATGGATTCTCGGGAGCAGGGCGACGACGAGGCATCTCTAAAAGAAAGGGAAGGAAAAGGTGTTCTCTTGAAAACCTGAGGAAGTTCCCCGAAGGTTTAAATCAAGACGTACCGACCGGATGACACCACCGTTCAATCGGAAAACAAGAAGGCTAGGAGGACGATAAAGAAGAAGGTTGTGAAACTCACCCGAAGACGTCGAAAACGGAGTTTTTCAGGAAAAACTTTGAAAATAACTCGCACCGGAAGGATCAGGAGTCAACAATGGGTTTTACTGACTGAGGTTTTAAGAGAAGATGCTGTCGACGATGGCTGAGGAAACAAAAACTCCGGCGAGCAGATCAGAAAAGGCGTTTTCTGGGTCAGAGATCGGAATGGCAAAACGATAGAAACCGGAGAAGAACCCCCTTTATATAGGGGGGAAACTGTCATCATTGGGCGGGAGAACCAAAAACAGCGCATTTAATGCGCACGACATCCCAAGACGGGGAAAGCTGCTCGAGGCCATAATGAAGGACGGATGGCAGTTGGAAAAACCCTTCGTCTCCTGACGACGCGTGTCCTCGGTGTCAGAAGATCGAAGGCTGGGGGGCAGTTGATGGGACTCTTCTGAAAAGCCTATGATGAAGACACGTGTCCTCGGGGGTTTCTAAAACAATGTTGCTCGGGTTCGAGCACCATCGGCAAAAGGCGTCCTCTCCCCCGAGGTACCTCTCATATAGGATCACATATTCGGTGCATTATACAACGACACGTGTCCTCGGTCACTGTGTATCTCGGAACATACCACCTCGGTCCCCGAGGTGAGCCTTCCCTCGGTGCCGAGGGTCACTCCATCCCGGACGCTTCCTCTACTCCCGGATAAAGCTACTGACGTACGGGACATCGGCCTATGCCAGTCTAGACTATTCATCATGACCTCGTCTTACACAAGTAATGTCAGAACATGCTGGAATACAGAAGTCATAGCCAATACGTGACGGACGCGTGGCATACGATATCACATCAAAAACAGGCAAACCGCATGCTGTTGCTGACATGCGCTTTGGGAAGCAAACAATTAATTGCACCCTTCTGTTGACGAGACCGCATTCAATGCGGTAAGGTTCGGATATGAAAGGCAATAAATGCTCCTATTACGGAGCATTTATTACATCCTTCCCGAAAGGAGCATATTGTACCGTCGGCATCCCGACGACTCAACATTGATTGCTCGGGACCCCGAGCAGTCAATTAGAGAAGACATTCCCCATCAAATCAATACACACGCTACCTGTGCCTGATGATCACCTACTGACCACACTGACAGCAATCATGAGCTTCTAAGGTATAAATACTCCTCCCAAAAGGCGAAGGAGGTATGCAATCACAAACTCACTACTACAAATTATCCTCATCAGTGTTTTCTCCTTCCTCTCTCTCATTCAAAGACTGACTAGACCGTCGGAGGGGATACGCCGAAAAACACTCCGGCGCCCTTCTAACTTGTTCTCCTTTGTTCCAGGAAATACTTTCCACACGTACAGGATCGTTCTTCCTTTCCCAAGGCCTTCCTTTGTCGTTCCAGGTTGCCACCGTACCTCGAAGGTTGTTTCAAGCAGCGTGTTTGGCCCCTCGACCGGCTCACTCACAGTTCACCAGGGGAGAGATCTGTTCCCATTATTTTATATATAGTGCAGGATCGAGCCCGCACACTTTTGATGTTCCTTTGTGGGCTAAACAACTAGCAAGTGTTTTCATTCACGTGTGAACCTGCTCAAACGGATAAGGGAATGAGCAATGCAAGACTTAGGTGTCAGTTGAGCAAAGTGACTTAATGTTTAGAATCAAAACAATGCGGGTGGCATGATATGGTTAATTTCACTATAGAGCGCCAACTTAAAATTTCATTGAATCATATGGCCAATAATAGAAGCAAAATTTGTATTTAGTTTGGGACCTGAGACGTTGATACCATTGGATTTATAATAAATCTCATGCAACATTGATACCCATGTTTAAAAAAGAAAAAAAAAAATTAATAACATTTTTTGTTCTTAAAGTATATATTTTTTGTCAATTTAGTCCTAATGTATCAATTTTGTCAAATTAGTCTATGAAATATTCAATTCATGTTATTTTGGTTCTTAATTGACAATCCGTCAAGTTTTTTAACGGAAGTGATCACGTGTCATTTTTTAGACAGTATCAAGTGCCAAATACGTGATTATTCCGTAAAACACTTAACAGTCTATTTATGTAGGGACTAAAATAACACAAATAGAATCATTTAGAGATCAAATTTATAAAATTAATACAATAAAGATTAAACTTATAAAAAATACATACTTTACATACCAAAAGTACTATTAACCCCCCCCCCCCCCCCCAAAAAAAAAAAAAAAAAAAAAACAACATTGACACCTACGATGACGATAGTACATTAGGCCTCCACAGTTTCCATGCCGAGCTTATAAAAAATGTGACTCGTGGTGTTAGCTTTTTCTACCATTCACTGCCCTTCTTTTAAGGATTAAAATTTTATTTCAATGTATTATTTCAATTACCTAAAAAACAGAAACATTTGTGTGTTTTAGAAATGTTTCAATCCATTTCAAAAATAAAATAAAAAAATAAATTTAAATATCATTTTTCTAAAATATTGGTCAAAATATATTAAAATATCTTAAAACATTTCAAAACAATTATACAAATTACATTAAAATATTACAAAACACCTCAAAACATGATAATAACACCTAAAAATATTAAAATTTTAATTTCAACACTAACTTATTTTGATTTCCTTAAAAACAGCAACGTTTTCGACATTTCAAAATGAAAATTTTCATCCTTGCCTTCTTCCTCCTCCTGGGGAGAGAGAGAGACTGCTACTCTAGTAAGGTCTCTTTCTTTCACAAGGATGAGGTGGATAGAATTGGAACAGCAAAAGCACTGTAAACTCTTACTTCCACCTTGGCACAGTACATGCATATCGAGCATTCAATATGCAGAAATGCAGCATTCCCGCCACAAACCACCTTCCCTTTCTGTTCTGTTCTATGCTAACCAGAAATACAAGGTTCAAAATGCTAGGGATGTAACAACTAATAAAATCCTATTCGGCCAATTCAGTCATTGGAATGAACAAAGTTATACTCAGGGACATACAAAATTCATGATCAACTGGAAGACCCTAAGCAATACACAACTTTTTATCTTATGGTTGTCCTTGAACTCCTTCTGGGTCTCTCGCTGTGTTCCCATTGGCTGCCAAACCGCGGATTTTCACATCATAATAAACTTCTTCCACCCGCCGTAAATCGTACTTCATCCCTGCCACAGATGGGAGAAGATTTATACAAAAAGTCAATTCATCTATAATGAACATCTTTTTCTACTTTTAAAAAGAGAATTTCAAAGGGTGGGAAAACCAACATGGAGGGGAGGGAGGGGCGGGGGTCCTCTAGCACAAAACTTATATGAATGTACAAGAACATATAGCATACCATCAAACTTTTTGCGCAAGAAATCATTCCGGAGATTAAGCATGCGGAATGCTGCATGAAGATCTGTTAAGAACTTCAAAACATTTCTTGGACAATCATAATCCCCAGTTGTCACTTGGTTTACCACGTACCTAGGCTGCAAATCCCAACATCTATTTTATTTATGTTTTTCTTGATAACATATGAACACCAAGAGTTGAAACTTTCAAGATCAAACAGTAGTTCTATTTTATATTGTTTTATTCCAAATATAACAACAAGAAAACCTTAATTTTTTGTTTTTTCAAAACAAGGAAGTTCTTTAAAAAAGTTCATTTGACTTACAATTTCAGATAGCCAACGAACTTTACACCTGATAAAATAGTATATATGCCACAGCTATTAAAAAAAATACATTAAAATAGTACAAGACAAACTACCACTGTGCATCGTGTGCAAGTAGAAAGAGCAACTCAACAAAATACTTTTTGAAGTTTGGATAATAGTTCTTACCAATTCGTTGGACATAAAACAAATTCCTGCATAGTAAAAACAGTTTCTAATCAGTACTTGTACAAAAAGCCAGCAGTGGACAAAGATCTTGGATCAAACAAAATTGACGCCAACAAGAATAAAGACAAGACTTCCTCAGAAACAAGAACCACTTTCACCCGAAAGACGTGATTAACATGCGCACTATTGTAGGTGATCCTCTGCTTAATTCAATAGAGAGCAACCTAATTTACAACTTTCGGCACATTCAATAAAACCTTTAACTAATAAGTTTGCTTCTATGTCCATTTTTCCAGTAATTCTAGCCATTCTGATGTACAAATTCACAAAATTCCTAAATGGTGACAATTCGTAAACACAAAAAATACAGTCGCAGAATACAGCTTTTATTCATTCGCACACAATATCATTTTGGATACATGTGATACGAAACTCAAGGGCAAAGACCTAAGGAAGAAACGGAGAAAATATAGACACTAGGAGCCTTGAAACCTCAAGGAGAGTAGACAGAGAGGGAAGAAAGAAAGGGGTTAAACCCCTAAATTCAGTAGGGGCCCTTGAATCCACAAGGATAGGGGAGAAGCAGAAGGAAGGAGAGAGAAATGGAGCATCTGCCCAGGACTTCACATTTTTTCCCAGCCTGCTCATCTATTGTGCCACTGGGGCTTATTTGGAGCATCTGTAAAACCCTAAGTATACATCACAACTATAAAAACAACCCCCCAATTAATTATAATATATTAGACTTTATTTTCTTTCTTGTGGGAACTTATTACGGAAAAACCCAACAAACTCACCTCTTCGTCATTCCTAAACAGATCACTATACAATGAATGAATTTTTTCACATAGTAGTCACTTCTAACAAATCGAAACTGGAAACTTCAAATGACTCACCAATAAGATAGTCTTCAATGTCCAGACCAAACTCAGAAGCACTCACTGCATGATTAACCATTAAGAAAAATAAAAGAATTAGAGAATTGACCGGGCATCTAAAGCAAGTATTCAATATATATATATATTTCTTGATTTAGAACAAGATAAACACATGGATTGACAAGTCATCGATCCAAAATGCAGTCCATCACGAGCAATACAGAAAAAAGGAAAGATACAAAAGATATGGAAGTAATCAGTCGCACGCAGCCATCCAAAAAATTGATGCTGAATAAAAACCACTATGGACTGTTGATAAATCCCTATAGACAATTATCGAGGAAAAATGAGTATGAAAAATAAGCCTATTAAAAACTGGAGGAGCTGCAGCATCTTGATGCCTTTAAGCAGAAGGAGACAATAAAGCCACCTATGCCATCTCGAAAATGGATAAATATAATCAGCAATAAACAGACAAACATTAAGAAATAAAGCCAATTTATAGGTTTGTGAACTGTGATAAAGCAAAGTTCTTTTCTTTTCTAAAAGACTAAAAAGAGTTTCACTAAAGAGACATGCATAAAAAATCAGGTCCAAATTCCACAAGGACAAAGGGGGGCAGTCAACCAAGCATTTAACAACCTCCACTTTACACAGCCCCGTCCCTCAATACCAAAACAAATCCAAAATGGTGGAATTACCCAAATACCCCCAAACAGAGAGATAGCAAAGTCCACAAATCACTCAGAGAGAAAAATGAAAAAAAATGATGATTATCTTCCTCTTTCGTGAGTGGTCTCTAACAAGTCGTCATCCTCTGGCAGCACACAAAATTCCATCACATCAAGCTTTGACCTCCAAAAAGTAGGAGATTGAGAGCTTCTCTTCAGGTTTTACCTTGGTGTTACCAACTGATAATCTGAATTTTTTCCATATTTTCTTAACAATTTAAAGGTAAAAGGAGATCTAATTTGACGAGGCAACTGAAGATCCTCAAAACCTAATAAGAAAAATGAGGCATCCCAAAATGCTCTATACAGGCGGAGTCACAGAGACCATGACAAAACTTCCCACATAGAATGGAAAGAGATAACACACCAAAGTAAAAGAGAATGCATAAAAATGGTTCTAAACAATAAGGAACTCTCCCTTATATTTCCACAATATATGTTCTGGAAATTTTATACATCAATTAAATTCCCAAAATATAATCAATTTATTAAACAAAAAATTTTCATGCGACTATCCAACTGAAGACACAACAAACTAAGACAGTCATGCACCAAGCAAGGGAAAAATAATATCGCTACTCATAAGTCGTGCTTCTGAACAGGTAACTAAACGTACATCCAAGTTTTTCCTCGGCTTCAGTATGCAGAAGAAGACTTCCTGTTTCTAACCAATGCATAAAAGCAAGCAGCGAGACTACTGTCTGTGTCTCACTCCTCCAATCACCGTGATACCTGAATACAAACGCATCAATGACAGTGAGTAATAATAAGTAGCACTATTAAAATTCCAATAAGGCCTGAAATTTTCATCCATCCCACACACCTATGATACTGCCCGGGGCATTCTTGAAGAATTTCTGCAAACCGATTGAAAAGCTCCTTTAACACACCAATCTGAGCCTTAGCCTTATCTAAAACCTCTAGTTGAGAATCAAAAGCTCAAGAACTGTAAGTTGTTCTCAAAATTCTTTTTGTTCTGAAAACAAAATCAGCATATACAATGTCCAGAGAAAAAATAATGTTCAAGACAGCATACCACAACATGATACTATAAATAAAATGTAGTTTGTATAGTAGTACATTTTTTGTGCAGGATATTAAATACAGAACAATATTCGAAAGAAAATCAAATTTTATTTAGGGCATCAAGAATTTATACCGCTATCTTATGTGTACAATAGTGCACACAATAATGCCCTAGAACACTCCACTCAATGACTTATCCACAGTATATTCTATTATTCCAAAAGAAAAACAAACGTATACGCCTAATCCACTAACTTTTTTGCACTCAATATGATTTACACTGCCTTTGGTACATAGGATGAAGTCTTGGGAATGGAACATGCATTCCTTAGTAATGCTGATTCCTAAGTTTGGCTGGTAGGAATTAAAATCTATTCCCATTCCTAAGGAATAGCTAATCCCAAATGGGATTAGGCATTACCAAATTTTCCCTGGTTTTTACCATTCCATTCCGGTCAAGGACGGGAAATATATTCAGAAAAAGAGAACCCGATCTTCTTTCCCTTCCCTGATCGTCGGTCTCACATCGTTGCTCAGGATCCTCACATCTTCTCTTCTTCTTCACTAACGCCCATGACAGTCGACCCCTCTACTCATCCCCTCATCTTCTCTATGAAGCAAGGGGTAGCATAGGTGGCTAGGAATACCCTATATCAACTTAGATCCGACTAATTTCAGGTAATTTCTTGATAAATTTAGTTTGTAATGCTCAGTTCCAACCTTGAATTTTTAGGGTTTGATATGTTGAAAAACAATTCACTTTAATTTCTCAAATTTGTTTTCTTTTCTAATTCAAGATTTGGAACTAGCTCTTTATGCATATGAAACTGCTAATACAAATAATTGGTTGAACAATTAACAATGTAGACCAGGTGATAGGTGTTTGTCAAAATGCATGAGCAAAATAAAAAGAGATATTTGCCTTCTTTTGCTGTCATGGGCTGCAACACCAGGTTTATGGTGCTGGAACATGTCTTGCATTGACACAAGAAGAATAACAACTTGATAACCTTGAGGAATTAAATGTACTTTTATTGTAGCTTGAGTGTGTCTTTGAAATGGTCATTTTTGTTGTTGACTAAGTTGATAGATGTAAAACGGCCTTAATTTTTTTTTTTAATCAATCACATTGATTCGGGGTGACAAAGAAAAAAGAGGATCTTAATACTTAAAAATGTCAAAATTGCACTTATTTAATGGATTTGCAAGTAAGTTTGATACCACTGTTTATGGAGCTGCAAGTTTGATCAAAACTATGAATAAGATGGTTTTGGAAAGAATAAGTCTCGACTCTGAGTGAAAAAATGGGATTTTCCTAATACTGTCATTGATTCAAAGGTATATTGGAATAAGAGATATTAATCAGATATTGATGTTATATCTGATGTGATAATAGACAATTAAAGTTGTGCAATTACTAGTTGTGAGAAAATGTGAACAAAAAATGCAAAGTTTACAATCGTAGTGGATTCAAATTGAAGACACCATTCTCTTTTGCATTGACTATGATTGAATTAAGTAGGTAAAATAAGAGATTTCAATTTCTGTATAGATGTTGTTAGTTGTTTTATTTATAAAATTGGGAGCTTTCAAAGATATAATGTTTTTTGATTTATTCATAAAATCAATGTTTATTTAAAATTTTGCGGTAGAATATCTACAAATTGCTCTCAATTGTCAAGGTTTAGTATAAACTAGAATAATGGTGTTGGTAAATAAATCAGTAGATTTGACCGAATAGTATAAATCAAAAAACATGTTGTTGTCTATGCAGTTTTAGAGTCATATAGATTGCATGAGCCCAGACACTTAATCTGAAGTAGCATACATCTTGGAGTTGCCTCATCATAGTGTATTCTGCAAGTTATTTTTGAGTTTTTTTGTGATGATGTTAAGTTTGATGTGACATCTTCACAATTTTGTTTTATAACCTTGGCATAGAATGAAGTTGGATTAGAAGAGAAAGCTGGAACACAATGGGCATTAAAATTGTGAACTATTGACAATCTTGATAGAATGCGAAAACTACTTTTACACTCTTGGAACAGGGTGCACAATACGTATGTTTTGTGTGTGGAGTACGCCTTTTGGTGGCAGTACATTGTCGATGTTAGTGGACCATGCATGCTACATGGTATATTCGTTGCCCACGAAACCAGTAACTTGTATTCCGTGTGATGTTCCCTCGTTCTCCTTTTATCTGCGTGCTCACCGAGGCTACTAAGAAGTTTTAACTGCTCTGCAAATTTTTATCAGATTTGTGAAATTCTATTGAAGACTAACTTTAATTAGCATAAACTGAGGCATGTAATTTTGGAAATTAGGTACCAGTAATGTCTCTTAAATACTTTAATATAGTAGGAATCTGATGACCAATAAGAATCAAGTGTCCTCATTTTGCCCTTCTGGATCATTTGACGCACAAATTTACATAGTCTAAATATCCCAACTGTTCATGATAAAAGGAACTCTTTTAGAGGCCTATTATTTTGTTTTCCTTTCTCTATTTTTTTTCAATTCTCCTTCCCATAATAGCAAGTGTGACTGTGATTGCAAATACTCCATTGCTATGTCACGTAATCTGACTAGTGGCATCTGTGTTGTAGGAAATCATTCCTATAATAAATTGGGAGAAGGCAACATTAAGCACACTAGTGCTAGCACTTCTCGCCTTTGCTTCTATAGCATTTTTCTCTGCCCTACTTTTGCCATTTAGAATGTGGGTGGCAGAGATGACTTTCAGATATGGGTTTTGATTTATACTTATCATTGGAAGTGTGACCATTGGCAAATAGCTTCCATATTTCAGTGGTTCTCTATTCCACCATAAAATTCAATGGCATACCATAGTGTTTCTAAATCAATTCTAGAAAATGATAACGAATTAGTAAGAGTGCGAATGAGATGGTATTTGAAGGGTTAATGAGTGATACATCTCTCTTTAGTGCAGAGACTAAGGAGGCAATAATTATATTTTCCTGTTCAATTAGTCTTGATGCAGCAGTTCGTAACTTAAAAGAAGAAGATTTATGAAGGGTTGATGAAACTCTCTAGCTAATCCATGAGTGAGAGACAAAAAGTCTCGAGTGTGTTGGTTCATGACTCGGACCTTACTTTTTTTTGTTTGGCCATCCCTGAGGTCAAGAAGGCTATATGTCTATTTAGATGGAGAATTTGTTAGATGCATGGTGATAGGTTTATCTTTCTTTGGATTATATACGACATTGAAATTTATGCATTTATGCCTTTTTTGTTTCTTAAATCTCTTATTGATTGTGATTAGTTTTTCAGTGAGTTTGTTCATTAGGTGATAGCACATTTATTCTAATTTTTCATCTTTTAAAATTAATGGGAGTACTAATTGTAAGGGAGTATGTTAAATTAAGTTAGAAATTCTATGATAAAAAAATATTATAATTAAATTTCATTCCATTCCATTCCAATAGATATTATTTTAGCCAAAGACTGGACAAATGAAGCACATTCTCTACTTATGAAAACCAAACGAACACTACCTTATCCTTAATTTTCTCATCATTTATCATGTCTCCAGAACCAAACAAACCCAAAATCGTAATGTGTGTGACAGGAAAAGAAACAATGTGCAAAGGATTACGAAACCCGCATTACTCAAACATTTAATAAATTAAACTTCCTCTTAATTTTCTTAGTAAACAAACAGACTACAGCTAACGCAATTTCACACACGCACATATCACATAAAAACAGAAATGAACACGAGTAAGCATCGTTTTTACCGGGGACGGGCCGAGATTGGTGAACTAAGAGAAGACTAGAATGCATAAGCCTCGTAGCCGATTCGATCTCAATAGCAACAGCTCGAATACGCTCGCGTAAGCTTCCAGAGTCGTCCAGATGTTTCCTGAAGTCCTCAAACTGTTTCTCCACTGTAGCAAAACATGGAAGCGCTTGACTTTCACCATCCCCCATTGTAGAAGAAGCGGAGTAGCAAAAAGTGGCTGAGAGTGGCAAACCGGTGACTTTTGGTGGGAAGGAAGTGGAAATGAATAAGTGTAGAGGCATCAGAGTGAAAGCGAAACTAGGGTTAGGGTTTAAGGAGCGAGAGAGTGTCGTGCAGGAGTTTCGAAACGCTGCTTTCATATTGTGTGCCCTGTAATAGTTGGCACCGTTTGATGAACTCGCGAAATTTTTTTTTTTATTTGGGCCTGGTTAGGGTGGGTGATGGCGTGAAGCACTTACTGTGGTGAATTATTGAGCGGGTGAGATTGAATTTCGGGTAAGAGTAAGCTACTTCCCGTTCAACTCGCCATTCACTGAACGGACCTATTGGCACAAGCCCATGGACCGGTTGGAAGGGCCTGTGAGCCGGCCTATTGGGCAGGTCCACTATACGGATTTTTTATATATAATTTTATTTTTAAATAATAAATTTTTTATAATTTAATATTTTTATAAATTATATTTTTAAATTAAAAGTAGAGTCAAAATAGACAAAAATTAAATAATTAATAATTTTATTTATAAATAGGGACATAAATTTATCATAATAGAATGAACACATGCTAACTAAATTGACACTTATGCACCTATCTGTCATTTGTACAACTTTAATATTTATAGTGTGTATGTTTGATAAATGAAAAAGAAAAGAATACATAATTAATAATATTTAAATTTCTAAAACTTTGAATTCATCCATTGAGGTACTTATTTTCATGTTTTGACTGGACTAGGTGGGCAGACAGGCCCATTGAGCTAGGTTGGGCTTGTAACGGCCCAAAAATCACCCTGGAAGACATTACCTTCTAAAATCATTTATACCATGGGAACAATTAATAAAATTCATAAATAATCGGGGGTCCTTAATTTAATAAAATTCGGGCAGAGTCTCATTTGTTCGGGGAGCTCTACCCAAAACACAACTTGTGCAATTATACAACATTGACCATACTGAGTCCATTTATCCCTAAAATATTTACAACATTATCCAAAATAATAAGCCCAAATTAGGCTAATACATCAAAAGAATTACATTTGAACTTAGTAGCGGAATAAACAAAATACTAGACTTTACATGATTGTACATAATCGTTCCTAATCTAGCACAAAAATAAATGACATCTCTAGATGTCCCACTCGGGATCTAAATACCCCTCTAATGAAACTTCTCTATGGCCCGCCTCCTTAGCACCGAGCTCCTCTTCTGGCTCATAATCTGTAAAATGTTTAACTGTAAGGGGTGAGCACGAAGCTCTGTAGAAAAAATCCTCTCAAACTCGAACAAGATTTAAAAAACAGATAAAAATCGATCGGTCTCATTTCGTAAATAACATATATCATTTTTGAAGGAAAAACATGACATTTTAAATAGATATCAAGTTTAAGCTGTAACAATAGTCAAGTACAAGAGTAAAGTCAATCCCACAATAAATAACTATTTCAAAGAGTAATCATTCCCACAACAATTTTCAAGATAATCATATTCAAAAGATAACGCAATAGACAATAACCATAATGTATCTCAAGTCTGATGTAAGATAATCGCATGAATAAACACATAGAGAATATTCTAGCCCACACACACACAATTCCTCTCAAGGATATCAATTTCGGGAAGAGCGTCTACTGATGCATTGTCTCATACCAATGCACTGGCAATAACAAATCCAACCCAGGCATAATATACTAATCTTCTGACATGACACCCGCGAGTTAATAGTGGTTTGGTCCTCGCAAGGCACCAACCCCACTATGAGTGGTAGAAAAAGTTCAAATCCACACGGGGTAAGAACCACACACATATACTCACTTTAAGATACCCGGTCAATGGGCACTCATGGTCATCCAAACACTTTCATGAGATACAATCACCAACAATTTCTCAAATACACTCAATTCCATAAAAATTCCCAATTTTTTAAATCCAAATCCACATTTATTTCACAATGGAACAATTTAAGAAAAATTAACAAGAGATTATCATAAATACCATTGTGTTGTTCAATATGAAACACTAAAATTTTGAAATCAAGAATAAAGGAGAAATCAAGAGAAAAACTCACTTTTTTCTTGAAATCTAGGGTTTTGAATATGAGAAAAGAACTTTGATGGTTACTCAACCATCCCATTGTTTAAAACATGCTAACATTTATAAAAAAAACATCAAGAATCCATTATTTCATAGCATATTAATATGATGTAGAGTCAAAGAAAACATATATGTATAACCCTATCCTCAATGTAAGAGAATAGAAGAAAACTCTTACCTTGAATCAAAGTTTCAAACCAAAACCCAAGTTTTAGAGCCTTTCTTCTTCCCTTTTTTTTCTCCTATGGTTCTAAGAGGTTTTGGGGTGAGAGATGTGGGAAAAAAATGGAAGAAAATGGCTGAAATCTGTGTTTTAAACACAGCAGTCCGTGACAGTTACTGTTCACAAGTTGATTTTTTGGTTTTCTCCAAAATTATGGTTTTACCACTAAAAATTTCCAATTTGATCCATATGACTACCTTAAGGTTTTTCGACGTTCCGAATTCATTTTTGATATTATTTTAACCTAAAAACATTTTATTTTTATGATTTATTTCAAAACTAAAATAAATTTGCACTTAAAATATTAAAATTACTATTTTATTCCTCCCTAATATTTATTCTTATGGTTTCAATATATATAGTTTATTCTTACGTCATTACATATATAAGAATCACTAAACAAGTATATTATTATATTAATATAAACATATGAGGGTTTACACCTTCCAAGTCTAAGAAGAAAGCACAACACACTTACCATCCAAGAAACACCATAGTGCACATTTTTAATCAACTTCGGAGAATAAACTGGTTTGACTCAGGTATTTCTAGTATGTGTGACCTATATGGTTGAAAAGATATACGATTTAGGGTTCTAACAAAAATAACGGTGCACAATTTGGATTTTTCAACAAAGAGTTATGATCAAATTGGTGAAAGGTAGTCTGTCGGATTGCTTGGTTCTTCTATACTTGTCTAACTCGAGTTTGGATGTCTTTTGTCCCAAATTTTATCTCATACCCATCTCCAATATAGATAGTATGACTTGCACAAAGATCCATGTCTAGCATCATTCATTAACCAAAACTAAATTACCATCCGTCTCCTAGAATTATTTATAACAACATGATGTAGAACTAGTATATCCATCAATATTTTTCTTCAATTCTTCTAAGTTAGCTAATTGATGAGAATGCAAAATGTCATATTTTTTTTTCTCTTTTAATAATTAGCCTTTTATACTTATTTGGAGCCTAAATATACTTATTATTCTTATATTTTGAATTAGGATGTAAATGAAAACGTTAAATATAAAACGAAGCTAATTGGACGATTGTTGATAGTTTATGTGGGGGTTTACAGGGCTAGCAGGAGGGTTCTTGTGCTGGGTTTTAGTAAACGGGCTATTAGGTTAGGTTTCAAACCGGGTAATGGGTTTGGGGGTAGGTTAAGCCCTTTCTTGAACGATATTGAATTCAGGGTGGGCCAACTATCGGGTTTCAGACCTATTTTTTGAGTTGGGTAACAGGACCCATGGACAATCTAGTCCATAGACACCCCTAATTGTGATTGCCGTATCATCGCTTATTTTCTTTTTGTTTTCTTTTTTTTTTTTTAAATTAAACCCAATGCATGAGAATTGTCAAACTTTTTTTTCTATGTTGAAGATCATCGAAATAAGTAAAAAAAATATTTTTTTACAAAATTTGAAGAGGGCTAGATATACACAAAAAGTAAAAATACTTTTTGCAACTCGAATTCATGACTTTTATATTGTTGGAATATATGTGGCTAAAATTTTTCGATATTAATTAATCCATAATTAGTGTTCACATTTGGAATATATCAAGCATTTTTTATAAAATTATTATGCATTAAATATTATTTTCTAATATTGCATGTATACACATATATATTTCGTTGATATCTATATCTATATAATAAAATTGGATGAAAATTAAATTTTATCCCCATTATATTCCCCCCCCCCCCCCAAAACTAACTAACTAGAAATTAAATTTTATCGCCGTTATATTTTTTCCCCCAAAACTAACCCAACCACCACACAGAACAAACGGCTCCCTGTCCTCTCTTTCTCAGTCTCTTCTCTCTCGGTCTCTTCACTCACTTCCCCAAATCCATGCCAACAGGCGGCGAGCATCAGCGCCTAGCCCTCAATCACCACCTCCTCCCTCCCCTTAATCACCCCCTCCTCTCTGTCTCTCTCTCTCTCTCTCGCGAGCATCAACGCCCAGCCCCCAACAGCGCGCAGCCCTAGGCTCTCCAGGTATCTCTTTCTCCCCTTCTCTCTTCTCACACCCGCGCACAGCTTCCCTCTTCCTATCTCTCTCTCTCTCTCTCTCTCTCTCCCTCTCACGCTCAAAATGGCCTATAAACTGTTTGACAAAATTCCCCAAAAGATCTCTCTCTCTCGCTCTCTCTTACTGGGATCAGCTTAAAATGTGCGTATAGTGACCAAGAAGCTACATTTTCTGATTGATTCAAGAATGGGCTTATGTGCTTGAGTGTAGTTGTCAGTATTCTTTGATCTCTGGTTTGTGCTCAGAGTTTTGGACTTTATAACGTTTTCAATTTTTGGGTTTTTTTTCCTCAAACCTTTTCTGGGTTTTGTCCTTATCCGAATGGTTGTGGAGAAAATTAAGAAAAAGAAAATTGCCGAATGGTTTGGGTAAAACTTTTTTCTGCGTTCTATGTTAATAGTGTTGTGTTCTATTTGTTTTTTGGAATATGAGGATCAACACACTGATTAACTTAGTCTAGCAGTTGAATTAATTTCTGTTGAGTAGGTTTTATTTACATTTAGTGGATAGCTTTAGATAGACTTGGATATGCTTCATGATTGAAGCCATCTTTGATTTTTTTCCAGTTTATTTTTCATTCTGTTGAACAAGTGGTATCACCTTTTCCAGATTATTTTTCATTCTGTTGAACAGGAGTCAAATCAGTGCAAAGAGAGACTGAAGAAATTCTAGGTTCCATACATTCCATTAGAAAACCGGTAACAGTCTCCATTTTCTTGCCGAATTTGCTGTCCATTTTTTTATTTATTTATTCAGGGCATGTTTGTCATTGCAAGGTAGCTTTGAAATCCTTTGTCATATAAGTGAT